CTTGCATAAGTTTTGGACTGTTGTGCAGTTTACATGATGTTATCCAGCTGAGGGTTGAAAAATCCCTGGAACTTAGGGGTGAGCATTGGTATATCTTGGTGTGTGACAGTTAAACTCAACTATCAACCTGACTAGATTAAGAGACTCCTGGAAATGTAATTAGACCATAGGGGTGCTATGCTTATCAGTGGATTAATCTACTGTTGTTCATAGCTGAATGTGCTTTTAGGAAGTAAGGCCCAGTTGGAGGAGGTGGGTCACTGAGGGTGTTCCTTTGAAGGGTGTGTCTGTCCCTGGTGTTCTTCACCTGTGTTCTGCTTCCTGGAGGTTGTGAACTAATCACGCCCTTCTGCCATGATGTTTCTGATTGGTGCCAATGAGCCATGAACTGAAACCTTTGAAACTGTGAGCCAATTAAAACTCGCCTCCTTTAAATTGTAGGTGTTGGTTATTTTTGTTCCAACAAGGGGAAAACTGACTGATACATGGTGGAATCTTATCAGTTCTATCATTCATCCAAAATATTTGGGTGCTAATTTTATGCTAGGCTGTGTTCTAGGTGCCAGGGATAGAGGGGTGAACTGCCCTGAGAAACCACCTGCCCATGCAGAACTTTCTGGAACAGAAAATCCCTGACCATAAACACGCTGTGTGTCCTGAAATCAGGTATATGTGAATACTTGTCATCTCACTGTCTGTGCTTGAGCCATTTTCCATTGAACTTCTTTAAGATCAGATCACTTATGTTTTTGGTCCTCTCTGACATCTAGCATAGTGCCGAGCCACTTCTGAGGCTTCAAATGTCCATGCCTGATTGAATGCTGTCCTTCAGACTGGCATGGCACACCCTGTCTTCCCCAGGTCCTGGTCCTCTTTCTGCTCCCATATCAGTTGTCACCTCCTCGTGCTTTGGACCATCAGAATGGAGCACTTGGACATTTCCATTTTCCATCTTATGGACACCTCTGCCACCCCTCCTGAGCTCTGAACATCATAAAGAGAGCTTCTGCATCACCTTGTCTATGTGTTCCCAGGCCCAAGAGCACAGTATGTTTGCCCAAAGAACACAGGGTGAGTCCCTGGAACCTAATGGTGAGCAGTGGTGTGACGTGAATTGCTTTATGCAGAGGAATGCTGGGTCAGATAAGGGCATGCTCTGCCTCAGCACTTTTGTGATTCTTTGAGAAGTCCAGCATGAGTGTAGTCATGGATGGAGGAAGTGGGCTAGCGTTTAGGCAGTGATGACAAAAGAAAGGTGACATGGAATGTTCTGGCTGGTGGTATCTTTAAGGGAAAGTTAGAAATTTGAAGTTCTATGGTTCTAGCTCAGAACCAGAATGCTAAGGAGGTTGGTTTTTACTGCTAATGTCCAACTGAGGTGCAGAGGAACTGTGGCTTGATTTGGTTTCTCAGATAGTTGCACAGCTGGGGGAATCTAGTCTTCTAATCCAGAAGACTTTTCTGCTATGCTGGGACTGTCATTTATGACATAAAAGAAACAGAGGCACAGAGAAGTGAAGTAATTTGCTCCAGATCACAAAGCTATTAAATTTAGAACCTGGATTCAGATGTGAATCTGTCTGACAACAGAGGCCAGCTTATAAGCACCGAGCTATTTGTCTTTTCTTGGAGACTGTGAAATGTAGGTTCTTAGCACATTTTTACTCTTCTTCTTTTACTAACTGTGAGTCACTGTAGAAAAATAATATTATTAAAATGCATTCTTTCCATCAAAGTACAGTTATATTTTCAGAAAAATATTTATATTCTTTGAATATTATAATAAAAGTCCCTGGATTATTTACTCTGAGTGTATATACGTAGTGTATATACATAAAACAAAAATGTTTCTGTTTTTCTCTACCATTAGATTGTATTTTATTTTTTAAAATTTATTTTAAAAATAAAAGAAGGAAAATATATTAACAGACATCCATTTACAAAATAGCATAAGAACAATACAAACAATACAGAGTTACAAACAAAGTTGTAGGAAATTAACAATGGTTGTTGTATTACTTACTGATATGTTCAAAGTGGTTTCTCAGGAAAACAAATAGAGACACGCAATATTGATCAAACAAGTAATCATTAACTGTTCTTTTCAGTAAAGCAATAGCAGACAGTAGTACAACTATGTTAGCTATCCTGAATATACATACCTACATAATTTCCCCTTCTTTCCCTTCTCTTTTCCCACACCCCAGTTGCCCTTTACTTTTGAGCATTTTCCTTTCTCTACCATTAGATTTAAAAAACTCCTATTTAGTTGTGTTGTGCTTTATGTGAAAGAAATATTTAACAGCATACTGTAACGAATGAAAACTTGGTTCTCTGATTTCATGAGCCCCAGCATTATAGTGAGTGAATTTAACTAGGAAATTCTAAGCTACACAGGTTTCCCACTCAGCACTTGCTAACAGTTGTTGACGTACCAGCTAGGAGGTAGCTATGTTACTGTCTTAGAAATGACTCTTTCTAGACACAGAAAATTAAACGGCTTGTCTGAGTTTCAGAATGAGTTGATAGAAGAACCAAAAATAGAAGCTTTTTTAGTGAACGCTAGACTCACTAAAATTCTTAACATAGACTATCTGCATTCACTTAGCAGTGTACAGTCCAGCCCTGGAACATTAGCCTGTTGTAACTCACAGAAAAGCTCCTGTTGGTGGGAGGGGATAGCTGGGGAAAGGCAGGAAAAGGTCTGAGACATTTGTTTCTAGGTCATTTCCAACCTTGCTATTCTAACACAGTTTTCTAGGTGAAAGGATAAGCTCATTAAAGTGAAAGTGTTCATTTTAAAATAATACAATCAACCCAAAAGGGCTCTGTTTCGTAGATAAACGGGCATACCACCCTAGACTCAATTTTTGTTTTTCACGTTCCGTCATATTCTGTATTAGGGAAGTAGGCAACTAAATAGTTGTTTAGAAATGAAACTGTGCTGTTCACTTAACTTTAAAAGCCACTGATTAGAATAACAATCAGTGTTTCCATGTAGTACTCTATTTATAGAACACTGATATAAGGGAGAGAAGTAATAGAATGATTCTCTTTATCTCTTCATGTAATCTAATTTTAAAATACATTCTAATTCACAAATGATGAAAGCCGGCACATCACTCAAATAGGATATTTTGAACAATTACATTCTTAGCATAAATTACACATTTCTGTCTCTCCTTCAACTTCCAACCAAATTTGCTTTTACGACTTTTGTACCAGCTTATTTTATTATAGAATATTTCCTGTGTTTTTATTTTGAATTGAATGGTCTTTTTGGTTAAGTATGATATTTATAGGCGTTTCTTTGATGAAAAGCCTAGGAATTTCTTGCACGTAGTACAGCCTGGCTCTTAGATTAGTGACAACATTTGTAAAGGACTTTTGTGGCTTTATAGTATAATTTCTCACTCATCTTATTTGACCCTTATGTGTGTGGTACTCTGTAGAAGTCATATTTTACTGATGAGAGTAACTGTGGAGAAAGGTGTCTTGGCATAGATCTGAGCATCTAGCAGGTGTTCAGTATGTTCATTTGAAAGGGAAATTGAAAAAGAGAACCCAGTGGGTTATTTAACTTGCTCAAGGTCACACAGACAGTATAATGTGACATCAAGAATTGAACTTGCCTCATTACTCAGAAATTCTATCTGCCTGTCATTATCTCACTGGGATCTTTTTAGGCTTTAAAAAGGCCAAACTGAATATATTCATTTTTTAAATTGAGGTGAAACTCACCTAAGATAAAATTAACCATCTTCAACTATATAATTCATTGGCATCTAGCACATTCATTATATTCTGCTACCATCACCTCCATCTAGTCCCAAAATATGTTCATCATCACTGAAGGAGATCTCGTGTCTGTTAAGCAGTTGTCCTATTCCCTCTACCCCTGGCAGTTGGCGACTACCAATCTGTTTTGTCTTCATACAGTTACCTATTCTGGATACTTCATATATATATGCTCACGGTGTATGACTTTTTCCCTGTAGCTCATTCACTTAGTGGGTTTTCAAGGTTCATTCACAAAGGATACACCAGAGCTTCATTCCTTTTTATAGATAAAGAATATCCCATGGTATGCATGGACATGTTTTGTTTATCCGTTCATCCGCTGATGGGTGTCTAGGGTGTTTGTACCTTTTGGCTGTCATTAATAATGCTGTTGTGAACATTCAACTACAAGTATTTGAACATTTGTTTTCCTTTTTTGGCAGTAGATATGTAAAAGTGGAATTACTAGATAATTCTGTGTGTAATGTTTTGAGGAACCACTAAGCTGAGTTTTATGGTGATAGATCATTTTACAATTTCACCAGCAGTGTTCAGGGGTTCTTATTTCCCCATGTCTTTGCCAATACTTGTTCTATGAATTTTCATTTTAATGGGTATGAAGTAGTATTTCGCTGTGGTCTTGATTTACATTTCTGTAAATAAGTACTCATGTTTTAAGGCATAGAATTAATCAGAAAATGGGTTTTGGAAGATAGAAGTTAACATCAAAATTACGGACTTCATCTGTTTTCAGGAGATATTTGAAATTGGCCTCTATTTAGCTAGGCATGATGGTACATGTTTGTAATCCCAGCTGGCTGGATGGCTGAGGTAGGAAGATCACAAGTTTGAGGCCAGTCTGGACAACTTAGTAAGACCCTGTCTCAAAATAAAATTTTTAAAAAAGGGTGGAAGATATAGCTCAATATTCTGTGGGTAACATCCCTAGTTATACCCCCAGTCTGTATATCTGATATATATTTACTTTGAAGGTACATCACATCAAACTGAAAGTAAAGAACTTTGGGATTAGGAGTAAGATACGTGGATAGTAAGCTCACAATTATCCCTTTACTTTAAAAAAAAAAAAACTCTTACATTTATGAGTATCATATTTTGTTTTCATGGCACCTACCAAATCCGCTTAGTTCTTTGCATGTTGTAGCTTTTAAAAATAATATATATTTGTGCCTTAATGGTCTATTCACTTATTTTTACAGTGTGAAAGAAGACACTCAGGATGGCTCAGGGGTCCGGGGATCAGCGAGCAGTGGGGACTGCTGACCCAGAGGAGAGTTCCCCCAACATGATTGTCTACTGCAAGGTAAGATGTCTGGCCAGGCGCTGGGCAAGCTGCCTCTGTGTACCCGAGTCCTGGGGAAGGGTGAACAGGTGGCTGACAGCAAGACAAATGTTTTCTGCCCAGACCGCCTTGATTGGTAAATGAGTGTTTTCCTCCATATCCTCTGATTATCTAATCTTAAAATTCAAGGAAGTTCTCATACTTGACAACTTGGTGCTGAACACCTGAAAAGTTTTATGGCATGTAGTTTTTTTATAAATCCAGAGGTTGCCTGAGCAATGCAGGTGGAGATATGTTCTTCCGTGTGAAGACCTTTATGGTGTAAAGTAAGATTTATGTTTTGAAAGTTCTTTGAACTCCTGGTATGTACAAGATATGCGCTAGATGCTGTGGGAGACATAGAGGTACGTCTCTATGAGACGTCTACAGTTGGTAGGGAACATAAGACGTACACAAATAACTGTAACAGACTTCAAGTGTTAGTTTCCAAAACAGAGACACAAGGGGAGTACTAAATAGTCTCAGAGGATGAGGTGAATTCTCCCAGCTTTGAAGGTCAGAATGGGCTTGAGGAGGAGTGGCCTTTGGCCTTGGTTTTGAAGGATGTGTAGAATTGCTTTGTAGGAACGCAAAGAGAAAGAACATTTCAGGTAATGGGAACTGTTTAGCAAAGGCGCAGAGCTGGAGAATGTAAGCAGCAACCAGAACTTTGGTCTGGGGATAAGACCTATTACAAAGAGTAAATAGGTATAAGATTTTGGGAAGAACAGATTTTAGAGTGTTGAACTATAGGCGGTTCAATCATGAAAAACTTGCGTGCTGAGAGTTGCCAAATCGGTGTCTCTTGGGATTGGAAGTCTTGCCCCAGTGCGCTAAATGGATTGTTATCACGATAGCGTGGAGGCTCTTGGGAGGATATTTCTGTTTTGTGAAATAGATAAGGAGACAGCAGTCCGGCTGGGGCACTGCCCTTCCAAACTGAGAGGGACTGATGAGACTTGAAAGCTGGCTGAATGTGGAATTAGGAGGCAAGTGGAAGATCAAAGATGACTAAATGTTTGTCCTTGGGTGCTAGAAAGACATCTGTATTATTAATTCAGTTAGAAGGAGGACACATTTTAAGGGGAAGAAATATGGCACAGATTTATTCTTGCACATGTTGAATTTGAGGAAATAATTACTTCGCATATTTGTGAAAATTTAACCTAATGATGTCACATGTTAATAAGGAAATGACAAGGTTTATTCATTTCAGTAAGTGTTTAAATTGTCTATTAGGTTCTGTGCATTCTGCAACTCTTTTTTTGATCTATGTTAATCATATGGATAGTGTTGAAATACATATTCCTAAATAAATATAATACGGTGAATTTTTTTATTTTCTTCATGAAAATAGAATTCTCATATTATTCTTTAAAGATAAAATTTCATAATTCTTTGCTTTGCATAGAGATGCTTAGATAACCCACCTCTAAGAGAGATGTTTATTAAATTATAAAGGAAAAATAGATTAATGGTGCTAAACCATTGGTGAAGCATATATGATAATAGAAATATATTTATTCATCATTATCTTCTTCATATCAGTCTGGGAGATTCTAGCTTGTGCCAGGGTAGAAGAAGCAATGGGCTTTGGAATCAGACCTGGGTTAAAATTCTAATCATTACACCTCCTAGGAATGTGACCTTTAGTTGTTTATTTAACTTCTATAAACTCAATCTTTTTAACTATAAAAAGAAAAGAAAAAAACAACCCAGGGCAGTAGTTACTATAAAGTTCCACTGAGATAGAGTGAATGAGGCATCTTATATCCCACTTGGCCCATAATGTGGTCCATAATGAAATAGTTCTTTTTCTTTTATCTTTATGTCTTACAGAGAAAGTGACATTTGAAGAAAAAAAATTATAAGATATATTAATATTGGTGCTGTTAATAAGGCAACCAAAGTACATGTATACATGAGTTACCCCGTTAAGCACAGGAAAACAATATGAATATTTTTATTTTATTCAAGGAGTTACAAATCCATGGATTTTTAAAGATTAATAGGAAATATAAGAGTCAAACAATCCAAATACATTTCTATTAGAATGTTTGGTGTGATGTTGAAAGGAAAATACTTTCTTCCTACAATTTGTGATTTTTATTTTTTGGGTGGTAGGTACCTCTTTTTTTTTTTCTGGTTTAATTTAGAAACATACTTCTCCATTGCCGTAATAATTTAGAGAGATGACTGAAATATATAATTTGCTTCTTAGTGACACATTTGTGGAGGGTTATGTATGTTCACGTTATCGGCTATATTATTACTTACTATAAAAACAATTAATTGAATATGTTCAGTCTATTAGAAGAAAGAGTATACGTTGCTTACAGGTGGGACCATGCCTGGGAACCATCTGAAATCTAATTAAACTATGGTTATGTTCGAACTGTGGGCTATTCACACATTTTCCTGCTTCCTGTTTGGCTATGACCTGCTGTATGATGTCACCCTCAAAGTATAAGTAAAGAGCAAATCTTGAAAGCAAGGGAAATTGAAAACACTTTCTATGGAAGGCCTTTTGTGTGATCATTTATTCAAGGTTATAGTCACAAAACCAAACCTTGGCTTGCATATCTACAACTAAAGTTTACATTTTAGAAAATTGTGCTTTCATTTTTATTGTCTTTCTCTTGTCACAAACATTGTCAGTTGTGAAATATTTGCCTGGGCTGTGTTGTATTGACTTGGATACTAACATCTTAAAAGCTAGATCTAGCAAAATAGAGTATCTGAGTAAACTTCTGAATAATAAGTGGGATGATTATGCTCATGATGTTGTGATTTTGTATTTCTTATTTTCATTTGGCACATAATAATTGTACAGATGTATGAGATACAACATGATGTTTTGATATGCGTACACATTGTGGGATGATCAAATCAGTAATTAGCGTATCTTTCCTCTCAAGTATTTATTTGTGGTGAAACATTCAAACTCCTTGCTTCTAGCTCTTTTGCAATATATGACATTATTGTTAACTAAGGTTGTTTTGACTTTGAAGTGCCTTTCAGTGTGGCATCCTGAAGTATGAGAAATGCCGATGTGTTTTGTAAGCCCGTATCTTTCAGAACACTCCCAGTTTTCTTTCATGTTTTAATGTCATTAGCTGTGAGAAGTTGTACTTTCCCGAGGCATGATTTATTTATTGACTGGAACAGACTTTCTAATTTAGTTTTTCATTCTTCATATTCACATTTTGGATCAGAGGTATGTATGAAAAATGTATTGGTCACATTAAAGATCTATTTAAAAGAAAACCTTAATTATTCATTGAGACACCCAGGCCTGTTCACCTTTTTTATATTCCTGGAGCCCTAGGATCCTGGGTCATTGACTTGCCGAACGGAGTGATGATATCCGAATCTAGCTGTGCATCGTATCATTTAGGGATGCTTCATAAAATACTTCAAAGGACCTCCTTCCTCTAAGGATTTTTATTTAATAGGTCTGGAAGGAGTCCTAGGAATCTAAGTTGGTGTTCTCAGGAGAATTTGGCACCTGACTAAGTTTGAAAAGCACCTATTTGGTGTCTTTCAGTGTCCAGGTCTAGTACATGTTGCAGAGTCATGGGAAGGGTGGTGTTTTGGATTGGATTTTTATTTCTGGATTATTTATAAATCTCTCAAGATGTATAAGAATGAATTTCTAGCCATAGTATTAGAGTATTGGTAACTTTATAGATTTTCTAATCAAAATGCTTATTTTATACGTGAAAAGCTAAAAGTATGGAGAGGATAAATAGCTTAAAGTTCACCACGGATTTCCCAGTGAGCCTAGTTACCCCGGTCAGTGTTCTTGCTAGCAGCCCCTGATTCCGCTATGGTGTTAACCACAAACTACTATACCACATTGCTGGAACTCAGCAGCCCATGGCTGAGTGAAATAACCGAAAACACTACGCAGGTGATCTTCGGCTTTCATGCTTATTGTTAACTTCTTATATTTGTCGTGCTAAAGTTTCATTCTACTCACTGTACTCTTGATTTTCAGGGACAGATTTCTAAAATATTTACTTTCTTCTACAACTAGGAATTTTTTTTAAAAAATAAATAAGAGTAGATTACTTTCTGATTTTGTTTGATTTTCTTTGAGTATTGTTGACAATGTCTTTAGATAAATTTCCACTAGACTGGCAATTTGATTTGTTAGAACTCTGCACTCTTAGATGGTGGATGTGCAGTGAAAATTATAGCTTAGCTTGACCTTGTCTTGGGTTAAGAGGCTGTACGTGGTGATGGGAGAGACCGGACAGGTGGCTGGGCATTCTGAGTAGCTGGTCCCAGGTTTGGCTCTTGCTGCTTTGGTTGTGTGGAAGAGGAACTTTTGTCTACCTTAATCTGTTTCTTTTTTTTTTTTTTTTTTGGTTTTTCTCCGGTACCGGGAACCGAACTCACGACCTTGCGCTTGCCAGGCAGGCGCTTTTGCCGCTGAGCTAAATCCCCAGCCCCTATGTTTCCTGTTTTCTCCTTTTCCTTCCTTTCCTTCCCTCCTTCTTCCTAATTAAATACTTTCAGAACACAGGTGTTCAGTAAGTTAGAAGAATAAAATATGAACTGTGTTTGTACTACTCGTTTAATAAATAAAACATTATCTTGGCTTCATTTTCTTTGTTTGGAAAGCAAGGAAATGATGTGCAAATACCTTTCTGCAGTGATTTCAAAGCAGTGATTTCAAAGTTTCATCATGTAAATTCTTAGTCTTTGAGAAGATAATGCCTGATACTGAAACAATGCTGTGAAACCGTATGCACGTTTAAAGCTCTTTGGAGTCTTTCTGGAAATATTTTTGATAGTCAGATAACCTAAATTGGATTGAGGTTAAACCAAATCTATAGTCAGGCATCAGAAAAAAAAGTTTAATTGTAATGATTTGATACCGAACAGTGAAGGTTAGATATTTTCTTCGTAGTGATTTATTTCTTTGGCTTGGTAATACCATGACATTTGTGCAAATATTTTGCAGTAGTAATTGT